GATTTGAACTCGAATTTGTCTGATGGTGAAAGTGAAGTCTTCTGCCCCTGCCGCTAATCAGCCTACCACAATTCACAGATAGAAATCTTTTCTGTTATCCTCTCGAGAAAGGTTTCCTTCTGTGTGCTAGAGCTTAAGGAACATCAGTCCTCACATGTGAGGAAACTGAGGCATACTATTATTTCCCCACCCCCACCCCAGAAAGGGGTCCTGAGTAGCTGACACCTCTACCAGATGCCTTTAGCGTCAGGTTCTTTTTTTTTTTTTTTTTTTTTGGTACCAGGGATCGTACTCGGGACCTTGCGCTTACAAGACAGGCGGTGGAACCACTGAGCTAAATCCTCAGCCCTAGCGTCAGGTTCTTAAGGTTGAAGAAAGTGAACAGTGAGCTCTAGGAGTTCAAGACTAGAATGGGCAACATGGTGAAACACTGCCTCAAAAAAATTTCTTTTTAATTTCTCTGGTTTCAGCTTCTTCCTGAGCCTGTCAGCCACTGTGTAAAGGAAGCCCCCAGGGAGAGCAGGGATGGGGCAGAACCAGGAGAAGCACTCTGCGGTGACACAGGGTCTGCCTGAGGGAGGTGTCTGTTGCGCAGGCCTGGTAGGCCACCCCTCAGCTCACTGAGGTACCCGGATGCTGACTCCTGAATCCTTGAACAACCTTTCCTTAGGTTGCGCTGACGCCTTCCTGCCCATCAGGGATGTATAAATAGATTTTAGCTGCACCTATTTTTCTCCCCGAAAGTTGCTGATGATCTGAGTTGTCCCTTGTCCCGTGCTAGGTCAGGGCACTGTCCCAGTCTCCATCATGGTGAGGCAGAGCTTCAGAGCTGGCGTGGGAAGCCGGGGCCTCAAGAGCGGTCTGCTGAGTCAGGAATGCACATGGAGCCGGAGGGCAGGACCATCAGCAGGGCCTTGGCTGAGCTTCCCAAGTTGCACAGCGAGTGGCAGAGGAGGTGACCTGGACGTACAGCTCCACCATGAGCATCTGCAAGGCACCAAGGCAGCAAGGGTAGCTGTGAGGGTGGATCACGGGTCTGCTGCTTATCTACTAGCTGAGCTTTGGCAACCTCTTTCCATCTCAGTTTTCTCATCTGCAGAATGGGAGAGAATCATATTTCCCTCTCAGGAGGGCCTTAAAAAGGTGTTGAGTCCTAAGTTAACACCAGCAGCACAGCAAGGGCTGGCCAGAGGGCAGCACAGGGTGAGGGTAGCAGCCTGGCTTCCAGAGCCAAACTGCTTGGTTTCCAAACCTGGCTTTGTCACTTGCTGGCTGCATGTCCTGGGGTTGGGCAGGATGAGTGTGCTTTCCTCTCTGGTCAGTTTTCTCATCTGTAGTAGGGTTAATAATAGTCAAATGTTTTGTGCAATTGCCCTGAGGATTTAATTGGCTTAATACTTGCAAAACACTTAGAAAAATGCTTGACACATGACTCCTAAGCGTCTACTAAATACACCAGTGGCATCCTTGTTCACCCTTATAGACGCAGGAGCTTTGCCTGTTGACATTTTGTTCCAGCATCTGGTAAACAAATCCTTCCCTGCTTCCTTTTAAGAATGGCACCTTAAGTCCTTTTTGCCTTCGTGTGACACTGACGTCACAGCACCCTCTGACCTTCCTTTTTTCCAGCTTCCTGGCCCCTTCTCTACCCACACCAGCAGTAACCCCTGTCCACACCCTGTCTGCAGCCCAGGTCTCAGCTGAGGCATCTGAGGGTGTGGAACTCCAGACAGCATCCATTGTGTGTCATGTTCTACAGGATTTCATTCATTCACTTGCTCACTTGTTCATTTATCAAGCACTAATGAGGTACTTGTCTGGTCCTGAGTACTGTCTTAGCGCTTGGTGCTATAGGATGGATAGTGAAGCTCTCTGCCTTCAAGGAGGTCACAAATCACGAGGTAGGGAAACCAAGAAAATAGATCATTAAATAGACTTTAATAAGTTGTGTAATAAGGAAGGACTGGAGGTGGTGGAGTGATAGAGTGCTTGCCTAGCAGGCATAAGGTTCTGAGCTTGATCTTTGGTACCAAAAAAAAAAAAATGTTGGGTACCCATGAGATGACAAAGAAAAGTCCTTAATCCAGGTTTGGGGCTGGGAACAGACTCCTGGAGGAGGCAATGGCTCCTGCCAAGGGCAGCTCCAGGCTCTCTAGGATGCCACTGGCCCTTCTGTTGCTGCTCAGGCCCCACTAGGGCCCGGCCAGGTCTGGCTGCAGCCTTTATCCAGCCTGATCCTGCCTGTTCTTGTCCTCAGCCTCCCTGGCTGCTCCTCAGTGTCTCATCCCAGGCCCTACTCTGTCTGCAGTGCTCTCCCTTCCTCCCACCCTTGGCTTGTACATAGTAACTCTCTTCCTTTCCTTTCCTTTCTTTTCCTTATTTTTTGGTTTTTTTAAAGGGTCTCACCATGTAGTTCAGGCTGGCCTTGAATTTATTATGTAGCCCAGGCTGGCCTCAGACTCATGGCAATCCTCTTGTCTCAGCCTCCCAAGGGGTGAGATTACAGGGATGCGCTACTGTGCCTGGCTTCAGGCTGGTCTTGAACTTGCAGCAATCTTCCTGCCTCCGCCTCTCAAGTGCTGGAATTACAGGAATGCTCCTCCATGCCTGGCTGTAATTTTCTTTTAGATCTTAATGCAGTTGTGACTTCCTCCAGATAGCCTTTGCTGACCTCTCTGGTTAGGTCAAATTCCCACATTACAGGTGCTCCTGGAACTATGTCCCTTATTTCATCACCCTGTCATACACATTCCATGATTATCTAATTTTCATCTTTCTGATGGACCAAAAGTAGGTTGAAGAAATAACTGAATGCACGAATGATAAATGGGTAAGGCAGAACAATGTGTACATTAATCTTGAGAGACTATGAAAACTACCACCTCCTTTTAAAGTAATTTATAATAATTTATAATAATCACTTATCTTACTTTTTCTGTGTGTGGCACTGGGAATTGAACCCAGTCATACTGAACTTCACCCCCTCCCCCCACACACACACACTGTTTTGAGACAGGGTCTCACCAAGTTGCTAAATTGCTCAGGCTGGGCTCAAACTTGAGGCTCTTTCTCATCCTCAGGCTCCTAGAGTGCTGGGATTACAGGAGTGACTGCCATACCTTGCTATAATAATTGTTTTTTGGTTTTTTGAGGCAGAGTCTTTTTGTGTCATCCAGGCCGGCCTTGAACTCACTGTGTAGTGCAGGCCGGCCTCAAACTCACAGTGGTCTCTGCCTCACCTTCCAGAGGGCTGGGATTATAGGTGTGCAACTGTTATTTTTAATAACTATCATTTGTGTACCATAACATTGCAAATGGGTTTGTTTGTTCATTCATTCACCCAACACATATTAATTAAGCACTAGCTTAGGGTGAGGCACCATTCCCAGCACTGAGATGAGAAGACAATGAAACTTACACCGGCTCCCTGGCCTTTGGAGCTTATGTTTGGAGGCAGAAGACAGACAAAAGAAATAAGCAAACATGTAGAAATCTAAGCTCTGAAAAGCAAGGGTGGTCACACACACACACGCACACACATACACACATCCCCAGCTCAGGAGGACCTTCAGAGGTTGTCCTGCCCTCTGGGAGCTCACAATGACAAGGATGACATTGGGTCAAGAAAACAGGAAATATTGTTGGAAACATGCATCGGGTGGGCCAGGCTCGGGACAGTTGGAAATGACTCCCAGCCCAGGCTGAGGAATCTCTTGTTGGTACCAAATGCCCAAGGGCAGCAGACAGCCTGGGCTGAGAGACAACAGGACACCCGAGCCCCTGACTGCTGGTGGATAGGGGCACGGCTGCTAGCTGGCGCCAGTACCCTTCTCAGCCGATCAGAGTGCTGCTGTCTGTCGGCCGAGGACCCCTGGGGACTGACTGTTGGCCGCCAGGAGTGGAAGGGAAGGAGGAGCTGGCCCATTGCTGTGGCTGCCATTCCTACAGCCTGTGAAACCCGAGGAGCTGGGCTGAGGACAGCTCTTGCCTCTGCTCCCCTGTCCTGGGGTGAACTTTTGGCTTCAGATCTTTGCTGCCCTGAATGAGGGGCCAGTGATAGTGGATACAGGGTGACAGGGTCAGGATAGGGACTGCCCTGGAGAGGACAGGTTTGTGGAGTGGAGCTGGAGTGAGGATGAGGAGCCTCCGCACAGATCGGATGGAATAATGTGTGGGGTACTGTCCTTTATGGGCTCATAAGCACACCTGCCGACTCCTCGGTCCAGTTGACAGATGCTTATTAAGCTCCTACTGTGTGCCACAGCCGCACTGTTCTGGGTGCTCAGGACACAGTCGTGAATGAACCATGATCCCTCGGATCCCACAGACCAGTTGGACAATGCTTTGTTCCTCCTTGAGCATTTGTCAGGATCTCAGTTGATGCTTGTTACAATCTTGGGAGTCTCACAAGAGCACTACTGTTTGCTATCGTTTGGATATGGTCTGTCACCCAAAGGTTCATGTACTCCAAGCTTGGTCCCAGTGTAAGTGTTAAGGTAGAAAAACCTTCAAAAATTGGGACCTAGGGCAACGGAATTAGGTCATGGGGGCTTCATCCATGCAAATGGATAAAGGCTGGTCTTGTGGAGTGGGTTGTGTCTTGAAAGAATGAATTAGTTCTCTAAAGAATGAGTTGTTATAAGTCAAGGCCACCCCACCTGTGGCTGGTTCTGTTCCCATTTCTCTGCCATATTATGAGACAGCCAGGGAGACCTTGCCAGGATACCAGCATCATGCTATTTGGACCCTCCAGCCACCAGAGCTGTGAGCCAAATCAGCCTTTTTATAAGTTTTTCAGCCTCAGGTATTTTGTTACAGCAACACCAAATGAATTGTTGGGACTGTTGTTCCCATTTAATGGATAGGAAAGCAGGGATAGAGAGAAGTTAAGTAATCTGCTTAAGAGAAAGCCAGGTAGCTCGTGCTCTCCTCGAGGATCGAGGGGCCTCTGGCCATAGCCTGGGGCTGGGGAGGGAAACGGAGGCAGCGGCTCAGGGAAAATGAAGCTGCACTGGTGGTATTGGGAAGATGTCGGGCGAGGACGAGCAGCAGGAGCAAACTATCACCGAGGACCTGGTCGTGACCAAGTATAAGATGGGGGGCGACATCGCCAACCGGGTACTTCGATCTTTGGTGGAATCATCCAGCTCAGGTGTGTCGGTATTGAGCCTGTGTGAGAAAGGTGATGCCATGATTATGGAAGAGACAGGAAAAATCTTCAAGAAAGAAAAGGAGATGAAGAAAGGTATTGCCTTTCTTACCAGCATTTCGGTAAATAACTGTGTATGTCACTTCTCCCCTTTGAAGAGTGACCAGGACTATATTCTCAAGGAAGGTGACTTGGTAAAAATTGACCTTGGGGTCCATGTGGATGGCTTCATTGCTAATGTGGCTCACACTTTTGTCATTGGTGTGCCTCAGGGGACCCAAGTAACAGGGAGGAAAGCAGATGTTATTAAGGCAGCTCACCTATGTGCTGAAGCTGCCCTACGCTTAGTCAAACCTGGAAACCAGAACACACAAGTGACAGAAGCCTGGAACAAAGTTGCCCACTCATTTAATTGCACACCAATAGAAGGTATGTTGTCACATCAGTTGAAGCAGCGTGTCATCGATGGAGAGAAAACCATTATCCAGAATCCCACAGACCAGCAGAAGAAGGACCATGAAAAAGCTGAATTTGAGGTACACGAAGTATATGCTGTGGATGTTCTTGTCAGCTCAGGAGAGGGCAAGGCCAAGGATGCAGGACAGAGAACCACCATCTACAAACGAGACCCCTCCAAACAATATGGTCTGAAAATGAAAACTTCTCGTGCCTTTTTCAGTGAAGTGGAAAGGCGTTTTGATGCCATGCCATTTACTTTAAGAGCATTTGAAGATGAGAAGAAGGCTCGGATGGGTGTGGTGGAGTGTGCCAAACATGAGCTGCTGCAACCATTTAATGTTCTCTATGAGAAGGAGGGTGAATTTGTTGCCCAGTTTAAATTTACAGTCCTGCTCATGCCCAATGGCCCCATGCGGATAACCAGTGGTCCCTTTGAACCTGACCTCTACAAGTCAGAGATGGAGGTCCAGGATGCAGAGCTAAAGGCCCTCCTCCAGAGTTCGGCAAGTCGGAAAACCCAGAAAAAGAAGAAATAGAAGGCCTGCAAGACTGCAGAGAATGCCACCAGTGGGGAAACCCTAGAAGAGAATGGAGCTGGGGACTGAGGTGGGTCCCATATCCCCAGCTTGCCGCTCCTGCCTCGTCCCCTCCCACTACACCCAGGCTCTGCGAAGGGCAGTTTGACTTCTCCACCCAGGACCACCAGCAGGGCAGGATCTCCCTGCCCCCACCCCAGTCCCCCAACCCACTCCCCTCCACCAACAACAACCTGCTCCAACTGACTCTGGTCTTGGGAGGCCAGGCTTCCCAGCCACCGAAGACTACTTTAAATAGAGAAAAAGAAATTGAATAATAAAATCAGGAGTCAAAATCCATCATCTTCAAGCCCCTCTTTCTAGCCTTTTCTACTATTTTGCTTGGTCAAAGTCGGTGGCCCTACAACAGAAATTAAAACCACCGCTAAAAACTCAGCTGAAATTTTTTTATACTACTCTGATATCAGCATTTTCTCATTGATTGTTTGGGGCTTTTTTTCTTCTCTTGTTTCACACTTCCCAAGTATTTTATCTACCCTCAATATTAAGAGGAGCTGTTCTTCAAAAAGTTTTTATTTCATGTGGCTGTAGTCAGGCCCTCCCCATTTTTAGGAGCTGAAGTCTCCATTTATGAAGAGGTTGTCATCTGTCAACTGGATCTTCACTTGTGAATCTTTTTAGTCGTTTTCTTCTGCAGGGTCTTTCCTCTCCCATTTTCACAAAGCTGTAAGAAATAATCCATCTCAGCTGTGCCCTATTCTCTGGAGTCAGTGGGGCCGTCTCTCACTCCACCTTAACACAGATCTAAGCGGAAGTTCAAGTGATTGTGTTCCCTCTTTGAGATATTTTGACTTCCCTTCCTTGAAAGAAAAACCAGGAATCTGAGGAAGACTGACTTGAAGAGACAACTAGCTTTCTGAAACTGTGGACTCGAATTGGATGAATTGCTGGGGGTTTGTAGGGAAAGGTGACACATTTCAGTACCTCTGGCATGCTGTCCCAGGGAACTAGGGCTCCCACTGATTTACAAGGTTTTTAAACATTGAAAATGACATGGCGTTAAAATAAATTTCAATTTGCTCATAAAAAAAAAAAAAAAAGAGAAAGCCAGGTAGACCTACCCCCCATCCAGTTCCATTTAATCCTTTCACTGATCCCCACCACCACCAAGGGGAGTCACAGCACCGCCGTTTTTATTGATTTTTAAATTTATGCTTACTTTTTAAAAGTTTATTTTTAAACTGATTGCTATAGCTCTTCTGTAGATACAGTTTGGTGCATGAACAGCTGCTGACTTGGTGTGTCTGTGGGGACAATATCACCACGGGCTCTTGCTACCATCTTGCTCCACCACTGAGTATTGTTTTTTAAGGGTTCACCCTAAGCATTAGAGTCTGATAATGAAACTTGATGGATTAGGGAAGGCTTCACAGAACCCCTGAGGTTATTTTCCCTATTTGCTATTTCACTTTTAGCACCTTCTTGTTGAATGGAAACAGTACCCTTGACAGGCAAGGAAATAGATCCAAGGCCATTTAAAGTTCTTGCTTTCACTGTGCATGTCACACCCTGGCGCCCATCCCAACAATCCGTGCTTAGAGGGCCTTTCAGGCTGGACACAAACATGGCTTGATGAGCAGTTACACATAAGCTCCTTTGGGGACAGAGACACAGCTTGTGCTTCAGTGTCTCCAAGCACCGCAGAGCACGCTGTTCTCCATTTAGGTGCTCAATAAACCCTAATTGATTAGTTGATTGGGAACAACAACCATCTAGTCAAAGTGCTTGGAAAGACAACCTCCGAAAGGCAGCCAGCCAGGGAAAGGCTCAGGGGACAGGTGATTTCAAATCAATGTGCTTGCTCATCCCCAAGGCAAAGTTTAAAGTGAATGACTGAAGCAGTATTTTAGAACGGTACAAAACTGCAAACAGGGTCCATGGAGTAGAGATGTCCACATTTCAGAAAGAATTCCTTGAGAAGGGGCTGGTTGCAAGGTGTTTCGAATGTGGAGAAATCTGGCTCCTTCTGTTTCCTGATTCTTCTTCTTTGTCTCTCCCTTCCCCTCATCCTCCCTCCTTCTAGGCAACAAAGTCAGATGTCATCTCAAGGAGAGGAAATATAAGCCAGGATCAGATCAAGTGCCTTCAGTGGTGTCATAGGAAGAAAAAATATATAAATAACTAAAAGTTGTGCACAGATAGTCAATCAGAAGATGGTGAGTTGTCATGATCCAAATTAAACCTCTCCTTAGGAAAAAAGAAGAGTTGTTTCTTAGGGTGCTGAAGGCCCAGGCAAAGGCAGAAACAAAGAGATATTTCTGCAAAAGGTGCCATCTGGTCCTGCTGTCAGCAGGCCTGGGGCCCTGGGGGAACAGATTGAGTGAAAGTCAGCAAAATAGCACCTAATGTCATTTTGTTTCCACTTCTGAAGGGATTTTTAAAAAAGACTTAGCCCTTTGGTGTTGAAGAGGTCCAGGCAAGCTTCTGCCTCCTGCCTTGACCCTTGGCTTGGGTTTGCCAGGTCAAACTGTCACAAGAGCCACCCACGGGAAACAAAGGGGAGGATGGGCACCAGCTGACCTTGGCTGCCTCCAAAGAACCCTGGGAGCCTTCTGCAGAAAAGGATGGCAGTTAAATTGGGTTATTCCCAAATGGATCAGGCCTGCATATCCTGGAAGATTATCTATCTATCTATCTATCTATCTCTAAAAGATTAAAGGTCTGGGAACTTTATAAAAAGGACTTAGGGACTTAGTTTGGGGCCCTCCCATGTTGAAGTTTCCTTCAGCTTTCAGCAGAGTCAACCCAAGACTGAGGAGCAGACGAGGAGGGTGCTGAGCATAGATGGTAACAGGCTGGGACTCCTGGAGGAGGTGTGAGGGATAGACAGGAGATGTTAGTTTAAGACATGAGCAGCATCTCATAAAGGGTAGGAAGGCACAGTTTGAGGGCTAAAGATATGCTCACAGGAAATGGTATGTTGTTTAAAAAAAAATGAGGTAAATTGGGTATGGTGACTCAGCTAGTCAGGAGCTAAGGCAGGAAAGCCTCAAGTTCAATTTTGCCACACTCTATCTCAAAATAAAACCCCAAAAGTCCTGGAGATGTACCACAGTGATAGAGTGCTTACCTAGCATGAGTGAGATCGTGGGTTCAATCTGCAGTATGAAAAAAAATGAGTCGTGTAGCCAGGACTGGGATTGTCAATGCACAGAAGCTTTTCACTGATGGACAGAGAATGAGGAGGAGGGTTGGTTGGCAGCAAGAGACCCACCTCTGATGAAACAAAAAGGAATTTATTGGAAAGCCACAAGGAGCACCTCACAGAGTCAAGGCAAAGACTGCAGGACAAATTGAGACAACAGAATCCAAATACCTGCAGTGATCCAGGTAGCAGGAATTACTGGGCAGCCCTTTTAGTCTGTCTTGACCTTTGCTGAGGTTCAGATAAAAGAGAAAGAGGCTGATTGCTCTGGTTTGGGTCAGGAATCCATCCTGGGCCTAGAGCAAAAACCCCCAAGACCATGTCCAGTGGGAGAGGGGTCATTCTGCAGGGCAGGAACTAAGTTGTATTGCCGTTAGTAATGATGTCTTCAGCTTCCACTAATTGGGGTCGCTGATTCATCCTGGCTTGCCCAGCTAAAAATCCCACATCCTAGGAAGCCCCTTACTCTCAGGCAAACTGGGGTGGCTGGTCACCCACAAACAATGGGGCAGTGTGCCAGAGTTGACCAGTGAAAAAATCTCCCAAAGGCAATACTCACAAGTCTTTTAATAACATTCCATGTTAAGATGTTTGCTGTGCTGAGCAGAAAGCTAATGTCCCCTCTAGTTTCTCCAAACCTTCACTGTGGTTTTGTGCTCAGCTTGGAGTGGGGGACAGTGTGTGCTCTCAGGGAATTAAATCAAATTGACTGATTTTGAACTAAATCTATTGAATGAAATGTCAGAGGGGCTCAGTGTCTTGTCGGATGTCACACAGATAGTAGGTGGCAGCCAGGCATTAGAACTACAGTCTGTCTGAGTCAAAGCCTGTGCTGTCCACCACCTTTGCCCTGCTCAGGGATGTCCTAATACTGCCATGACTTCTGAGACTCCAACCAAGCATGGGTGGGTTGGAGGCTTGGTCTCCTAGGTAGCTGCAGGAGGGCCTCAGCAGATCCATCTCACAAGGCTAAGGTGTGTGGGGGCAGGGTGTGTTTGTGTGTCTGCAGCCTCACACAACCCAGCTCGGGGCAATCTGTCTGAGAGCTGGAGTAGGGAGTAAGCTTTGCAGAAGCCAGAAGACCTACCTTCTGGTCCCCCTGACCCCAATCCATCACTGGCATCTTGGGGGAAAAGACAGATGCTAAGAATATGAAGAACCCCCAAACTCTGCCTGCATTCTTCCCTTACCTGACTCCTCACGAGTGGTACCCTAAAGGGGGCTGGGCAACGCCCCACAATCCTTCCTTAGGAGCTTGCTATGGTTTGGATAAGTACCCTCCAAAAGCCCGTGTTAAAAGCTTGGTCCTTTGCCCATGGAACTGCTGGGAGTTGGTGGTCTGTAAAGAGCTGGGCCCTGATTGGAAGTCTGTCCATCACATGGGGTGTTGGGACCCTAGCCCCCCCTCTTCCTCTCTTCTGCACCTGCCCATGAGGTGATCAACTCCTCTCCCCATGCACTCCCACCATGATGCACTGTGCCGCTATAGCCCCAGAGCAGAGGAGCCAAAGTCTCCCAAACTGTAAACCAAAATAAACCTTTTCTCTTTATAAGCTGATCCTTTGTTATTGTTGTTGTCATTGAGACAGGGTCTCACAATGTAGTGCAGGCTGGGCTTGAACTGGCAAAGATCCTCCTGCCTCAGCCTCCATGAGGCAGGAGATTAGAGTATGGCAACGAGGCTGGACAATAGGGCAAAGAGGCTTGACCTGTCAAGCATGGAAAGCTGGCAAATCGTGGCCGAGACATGTGCATAAGAGGATACAAAAGGATATAAAAAGATGGCTATAAAAGCACTCCACTGCTGGGATAGACTACCCACAGCTGGATTCTGTGGGGTTGCAGACACACAAACACACCTTGCCCTCACACACCATTGGGCCTTTGTCTTCCTATTGTTGTAGTGACCCACTCTGGGTGCAGGGCCTATTTTCTCTCCTTTTCACTTCTACTTTTTTTTTTTTTTTTGGTAATGGGGATTGAACTCGGGTCCTTGTGCTTGAGAGGCAGGTGGCAGAACCACTGAGCTAAATCCCCGGCCCCTGTACTTCTTCTTTTCTTTCTTCTTTTTACTTCTACTTCTTAGTTTCTTCTTTACTTCTTTTTCTGAAACATGTTCTCATTATGTAGTT